AGAGACCAGCCTGGCTAACGTGGTGATATACCCCATTGTCTGTACTAAAATACAAAAATAGGGCCCGGGCGCGGGGCGCAGTGGTTCACACCTGTAATCCCAACACCTTGGGAGGCCAAGGCAGGTGGATCATGACATCAAGAGATCGAGACCATCCTGGCTGACATGGTGAAACTTCGTCTCTACTAAAAACACAAAAACTAGCTGGGTGTGGTGTCACATACCTGTAGTCCCAGCACTTTGGGAGGCAGACACAGGTGGATCATTTGAGGTCAGGAGTTCGAGACCAGCCTGGTCAATGTGGTGAATGAAACTCCATCTCTACTAAAAATACAAAAATTAGGCCAGGTGCGGTGGCTCACGCCTGTAATCCCAACACCTTGGGAGGCCGAGGCGGATGGATCACCAAGTCAAGAGATCGAGACCATACTGGCGGACATGGTGAAATCCCATCTCTACTAAAAATACAAAAATCAGCTGGGTGTGGTGGCACACACGTGTAGTCCCAGCTACTCGGGAGTCTGAGGAAGGAGAATCGCTTGAACCCAGGAGGCAGAGCTTGCAATGAACTGAGATCGTGCCACTACATTCCAGCTTGGTTACAGAGTGAGACTCCGTCTCCCCCCACCCCCCAACCCCCCCCAAAAAAAAAGAAACCAAAAAAAAACCTTAGCTGGGTGTGGTGGCACATGCCTGAAATCCCAGCTACTCAGGAGGCTGAGGCGGGAGGATCACTTGAACCCAGGAGGTGGAGGTTGCAGTGAACACAGATTGCACCACTGCACTCCGGCCTGGGTGACAAAGACTCAATCTCAAATTAAAAAAAAAAAAAAAAGAGAGAGAGAGAGAGAGATAATGGGTCCACCATCTAGACTCCTGGCTCTCAGGAGGAATTATACACAATAGAATTCTGCCCATATAATAGTCTCCACCAATTTCTGGAAGGCAAGGCTCATATGAAAAAATTTTCCCATGTTCAACTCTTGTGCATGCACACAGTAGGTCATTAATACATGCTGACTGCATTTAATTTCAAGTAATTAATGACAAGTATTTAATCATTCAAGTATTATGTTTTAAAATTACTTCAGGGATGATATCTTGCCCTGGTTTTATACTTTGAAACATAACTTGAACTAGCTTGAGCTGTCAATAAAGAAATACAATTAGGTAATCTAATTTTTTTAATGGATTAAGGGAGGGAAAATTTTTCTTAGGGATAGGCAAGGAATATGAGGGATTAATGTTTTGTCGAGTTATAATTTCATTGTTGGCAAGGCCCTCTGAGATAATGACATGATATTTTTCCACATGAATCTGAAATTTCTAGCACTTGATGGATTTCTATTTTGTCTCAGACACTAGATGTTGGTGGGCAAAGGATGGAGAACTCCTGAAATTACAAACCCACTGCCTTGCCACTATCTTAAAAACTATTTTGTTCCTGAGTCTAACCAAGTCTCTGGTCTTTAAAACCGTTTGCAAATGTAAGGAATGTAATAATATTCAAAACGCTGAGACACATAGGACAGCTGTGGAAGTTAGGAAAAAAGACGCTTACTCAGTGCCGCTCTCCACCATCTGCGTGAGGAGAGAGATGCCATCCAGGTTTATAAACTCCTGGGCAAATGTGACATCCCGGGAGAGGCTGGCCAAGTCCTTCAGGGCTTCCAGTTTGGCATCCATACTCGAGGACTGGATTCGTTCATGGAGCTGCTGGGCGTTCTGCGCCTTCCGGGGCGAAAGCAAAGGGAAGAGTGTTGACAAAGGAAACCACAACAGCAAAACAGATTTATGTTTCAATGAGAAACAGAGCTACAAAGGCCAAAAGCACAAGACTATCTGCATATTACAGAGTGGGCATCTCAAGGACAGGCTTCAAGGCTTCCAACCCAAACACTCCACCTTCAGAGCGAGGTCCGCTCATCTCACGACAGGAAACAGTTGCGTTCTTCTCAAAGGAGTTGGGATTTCCATTTTGAGGAAAAGACCAAGAGCAAGAGTACAAGAATATTAAGGCCCTAGAAACTGAACAGGATGTGGCAGAAAGGAGGGAGGGAAGGGGAAGTATTTACCCTTTAAGTAAAATTATGTAAAAGCGACTGAAAGCTATTTGCTCAGTTAAGCAATTACACAAATTTATACAGCATGCTCACCTGTTCAGTCAATACTGTGAGTAATAACTGCCTACACGTGTTCGGAAGCTTCATTAGCCACCCAAATGATCTTTCTAGGTTACTGTAAATCTTCCAGCACTCCACAACCATGCTTGTAAATTTGAATTTTCAACAACATGTGTTTCACATGCATTGGCTACTTGTGTGAATTTAAAACTAAATAATTAGGAAACCAAATTAACAGCTATGCCTAGAATTACTTTCGAGGCATTTACACTTGGCTTCTACATGCAGGACATAGAGGAATCGAAATATATTAAAGAAGCTGAACTTCTGGGTAATAATTTATAGTCCAGATGTCTTATTCATCCAGTCGAGGTTTTCATATCTACCTTTCAGTTGAGGCAAGCAGTAAGAAACACAAAGGAATAAAATGTTCTGCCTGTGTTTTGCTTAATACAGATAACTGAGTATCTGTCGTGGTTTTATTTAACTCAAAATCACTGTGGTGAAGCACTGTGCCATCATCATATTCTCCTTCTCAGGTACTTGCTTTCTCTTTTGAAACCGTGTTATATTTTAGAGAGGGAGAAGACAGGGTGTTGACCACATTAATGAGGTATCTCTCCTCAACAGACACTGGTTACAACTCTCTCAGGAACCCCCTGTGAACTACCACAGGTTAAGGTTGCAGAGTGGAGGCAGGAGAACCACATAGGTATTGAAGGCAAAACCAATGCTGGCCACAGACCCTGCCTAGAATGGGGGAGGGAATCCACGCAGGTCCTAAGAGCAGAAGGACTCCACCCCAGCAGGTCCACAGCCACAGAGCCCTCCCTCCTTGCCCAGCGCCCCCTCCACTGTTACCTGGAAGCAGCCCTCAAGAAGAGAAAAGAATTCAACAGGGGAACTGATCCAATTCTTTAGGACCCGAGACAGGGATAGAACCCATGCCCCCATCACTTGGTCACAGATGTGCTCAGGTCTCCCATTTAATTAAAACCGAAAACAGACGCTTTGCATCAGAAATTATAAAAGAAGGAAAAGAGCAGGGAGGAAAACAAGAGCCCTCCCTACTTATCTATTCACTGATCTACAGATAACCCACACATCACTCAAATACTAGAAGGGAGAGTGGAGAGCTGGGTGAGAATTATTTATTTCTTAAAATTGTTAAGGGATATAGTATTTTCCAAAATTTTCAAATGCATATACAGCATTCACATGAACATATAATAGTTAACCCAAGCAAATCATTTCAAATTCCTTGAAAAGTGTATTTTTTCTCCAAGAAGGATGTTTACATTTACTATCTAGGTTACGACAATAATGAGTACCCAAAAATTATTTCATTGTCATTATTAATGCTAACTAATAGTGTTTGATGCAGTTGATACCAATATGAAAAACAGCCAACAGTTACCTAGCACTTTTTATGAGCCACTATTCTAAATACCTTCATTTAATCTGCACAATAGTCCCACCGGGTAGGTCCTATCATAGTCTTTGACAAAGGAAATTGAAGTTCAGGGAAGTTAGGTAACTTGCCCAAGGTCACACAGCTTATCAGTGCTGAAGTTAAAATAGAACCTGGGCAGCTGGACTCCAGAAAACACACTGTAAACAGTGGATCTCAAATTGTTGCCTGTGTAAGAATCACCTGGATGACTTCTTAAAACACAGACCATGGGCCACCCCTAGAGTTTCTGGTTCTAAAGGCCTGGGGTGGGGTCCCAAAAATTGTGTGTTTAACCAGACCCTAGGTGGTGCTGCTGCTGGCCTGGGAATCACACACTGAGGACCACTGCTCTACATCACTCAGGATGCTGCATCTCTCTGTGATTATAGAATAAGCAGCTCTGTGGTGTTTTTCTTTTCTTTTTTTTTTTTTTTTTTGAGATGGAGTCTTGCTGTCACCCAGGCTGCAGTGCACTGGCACAATCTCGGCTCATTGCAACCTCTGCCTCCCGGTTCAAGCGGTTCTCCTGTCTCAGCCTCCTGAGTAGCTGGGATTACAAGTTCCTGCACCATGCCTGGCTAATTTTTGTATTTTTAGTAGACACAGGGTTTCACCATGTTGGCCAGGCTGGTCTTGAACTACTGACCTCAGGTGATCCACCTGCCTTGGCCTCCCAAAGTGCTGGGATTACAAGTGTGAGCCACCACACCCAGCTGATTGTGTTTTTCAACTACCACCTGATCTTCCCCAGCTGTAACACAAGGAGGCTCTCCTGGTTTACAGCACCTAAAGAAAATGTGCTTGCCCTTCTAAAAGCTGTGCACTTTTAAGGAAGAACCTTTGCTAAGAAAACCAAGAAAAAGTTAACAATGTGGAAGCTAAGTAGATGGAATTTATTATACCTACTCTTATTAATATATAATTTATTATACCTATTCTTCCTACTTCATTTACATGCCTTCATACTTACCTACTTAAAAGTAAATAAATAAATAAATTTTAAAATAAAAGAAGTGAGGAGAGAACGGAAACCTGAAAAGGACAAGTGTCCCAGGCAGAGGAGTCAAGACTGCGGAGTCCTCCCAAATCCCACAACCGCTCATGGGTTGCTGCTACAGAAATTGAAAATATTTTACCAAGATGGTCACATGTAAGAATAGCAAAGCAATATCCTAACTTGCTGGGATCTTAGCCAAGGAGTCACTCCCATAATAGCAGTAAAGCCTTCTCCAAACTGCCACACTACAGCAAAGCTCATAGACTCAATGGCCTGGAAAGTTCCTATAGAACTATTCACCCCTCTCTTGCACTCAGCCCAGCGCCTGAGAATGATGTGTTCTATTGGCATGGGGCTGTTCTTAACTCCCTGAAGGCCTTGCTCCTTCCCTTGGTACCCATATCTAAGGAGACAGCTGTTCTTCAAAAAGTGTAGTTCCCACAGTGTTTGCTTTGGGGTAAATTTCCCTCTTCATCCTAGGACATAGGTGAACAACTGGAGGAGATACGGTCAGTAAAGAGGAGGGGAGGAATGTGGCAAGCCAGGAGGTGAGAGGACCATGATGGAAAGCTCCATGAGCCAGGAGTCAGAGGCAGGGCCACTTACATCTCTTTCACTGGCTATCTCTGCAGCCACAGTGAACTTCTCTCTTCACTTCTCTTGGCCTCATTTTCCCCATTGGTAGGTACACCAAGGAACTGTGATGAGATCATGTTTAAGGTTCCCTTCCACCCACAGTGTGACAAATTGCATCTCACCTGGGCAGTAACCCTCATCACAGAGTCTGCCAGGAAAGGGTGATCCACAGAGGTGAGTCCCACAAGTGACCGCCAATCAAAATGTTATGTCAAACTGGTGGGACCCTTTTAATGCAATATTTTTTTCAACTGAATCCAGAACAGGCAGGGATATACCTTCTTTTTATCTTCTCTAATTTCTAAATAATCTGGAAATACAGCTTTTATTATACAAAACAAGTGGGAATCAAATGTTTTGTTCTTAAAATATTGGAGTTTTGTAAGGAAATTTTGTTTTTGGATATTAGTTATTGCAGATCACTCTGTATACAATTTTGCTTAGCCTCTTCTCAGACAAGTCTTTCCAGTTATCCAGTGGAAAGCAATGTCCCTTCAAAATCCTCAGGATCCTCATTCACTGGTTCAACATACACTTCTGAAAAGCTTGACATTGTTCTGCACATTTGGGATACAGCAACAAATAAGACAGCCAAGGTTCTCACCCTCCCGGGGCTCACCCAAGCTTGGTGTGGCAGGTGGATAACTTTTAAAATTAACAATAAAAAATCAAATATTGATGTTTTATAGCAAAACCTAAAGTGGAGGGTTTGCGTTAGAGACTGACTGATGGCTTCTTTAGATGGAGTGGTTTTCAGGGACAAGCAACCTAAGGTAGTGACATCCAAGGAAAGATCTGACTGACAAGAAAGACCCCACCACATTGGGGAGTGGAATATTCTGGGCAGCATCAACGGTTAGTGTCAAAACCCTGATTCAGGTGGAACAAGCCTGGTCTGTCTGGAGGGAGAGAAAGGAGAGGACCGATGTGTCTGGGGTCTGCAGGCCAGGGGGTGTGGAGGGAAGTGAGGGTGTGGAAGCGGCAGGCAAGGTAGCCTAGGATGTTCATGAGCATGCAGAGCTGAAGGAATCCCTGGTGGTGATGTGCTTCCCTGAATGGATGCATGTAAGTATCTGAGATGAATGTGTGGTACAGTTGGAGCCCTTAAAACAGCATTCATAGCCAAACATTGAGCAGCCATCGTGTTTACCAATAGGACAATGGTGAAATAGTCATGATATGGTCATAGGATGAAATATTATATGGAACTGCATGTGGAACTTTTAGAGAATGTAAAATAGTGAGAACATCCTCACGAGGCAATATTAAGAGAAATAGCCAGGATGCAAACATATTTTATTGTTTGCGGGAGGTGGGAATATGTGCTGTGGAGTGTGTGTATCTGCTAGAATGTAATGTCACCCAACATATAGAAGTGTGGCATTTACCATGAGTTCAAAACACATTTCACTAAATGAATGTACAAATGAATACATATATATATGAATGTCTAAATGAATCTATATATGAACCTATAAATGAATATACATTCATGTATGCACACATATGTATTCACGCATTT